GCGGCCCCCCACCCCCAGCAGAACCAGCGTAGGCAGGTTCCTGGGAAGGTTGGTCAGCCGGCACTGCAGGAGCAGGGTTAGGGCCTGGCCGGGGAGGCTGTGGGGAGCCCTGGCCTGACTGTCAGTTTGGGGGCTCACCACCTCACTCCCTCTCCGAGGAACTGTCTGGATCTGCCCGCTGGGCTCCACCCCCGTGTGTGCTCACTCATCCTTTGGCAGGGCCGCTGCCAACCCGAGACCACCCTTAGCAGCTGTCCAACTGCAAGCAGGTTCCCCGGAACCCCGCATCGGGGCTGGTCATGGATTCCAAGCTAGGGATAAGCAGGGGCGAGGCCGTCAGGGTGAGAAACACGCGGAAAGGCTAGTAACAAGAGAGTGGCTGGACCCCCTTGATGAAGCAGGGATCCGAGGTGAGACCCGGGCAGTCGCCTTATCCCACACTCCCCTGTGCATTCTTCTGGTGAAGCCGGGTTCAGAGCCATGACCCTTTAGATCCCGGGCAGAGCTAACTTCCTAGACCAGCCGGTATGTGGGAGAGGGAAGACTGGAACCAGACGTTTAAGCCTTGCGCCGAACCAGCGTCCATCCCGACATTAGAGTTGGACACCTGGTCTCCACCTCCTTTCGCAGCCCTCGGAGGCTTCCATGGCTCGCCTCCCTGTCTCTAGCTCCTCCGCTCTGCACCCGCCTCCCCCGCCCTCCACAGCCCGGGCCCTGTGAGGCGAAGCCTGGCCCTGCCAGTGAGACCCTCTCTCCCCCCAGGCCTGCCTCCCGGGGCCAGTTTGCCATGGAGATGGCGGGCAGAGGGGAGCAGAGAGCCAGACTTTGTTTCCAACTGAGAACCGAACAGGAAAGAAAAAAGTGTGTGATCGCCGAGCATTTCCCTGACGCCTTGTTTTCCCACCCAAGAGATGGCGAGGGGTCACCCGCCACTTAGCAGCTTAACTCTCTGAAGCGGATTTTTCATTGTCAGCAGTAATCTAATTAGTCCAGATGAAGGCCTGTTCTCTCTAGCTGACTGTTTGCTTGCGCCTTCAGGGTCGGTAGCTGGTGGCTAACACCAGATCTGAAGCACCCAAAGTCCAAGACAGGCCGAGCTCACATCCCGCCGCCCTCACGAGCAGAGAACAGTGAGGGCAGTGCCGCCGTGGCCTGGCGCGGGCTCTTACCCTGCGGCTGAGTCTTCCTCCAGACTCGGTGCTTGAACCTCAGCTGCAAGGTTCCTGGAAGACTTAACATGGGGCGAGCCAGAGAGCCCCCAAAGATACCCGAGTTATTTCCCGCTCCCTCTCAAAGCACAGTAAAGCAGAGTGAGGCTCGGTCAGTAACCTCCTGACACAATTAGGGGCCAGTACTTAGAGGCGCTTTCTCATCCCCCAGGATCGTCATTTTAGGTATGGAGATTTCCAGTCACAGTGGAAGTCGTTTGCTCTCAGTGAGAGGAAGTGGTGCCACCAGAATTCACAGAATTCAGACCGAATGGGTCAGGTTTCAGCACCCCAGCCCTTCCCCACCGTGTGTGGCCTGGGGCTCCAGCCATTCAGTAGGCCACAGTCACGGTCACGGTCCTCCCGTTGTTCGTCCATTTTGCTCGAGCGGATCCAGTAACGTCTCCATTGGAGACTTTGTTGTTACTGTGTTTGGCATATCGAATACATCACGGGGAGCTTACGAGGCTCTGCCGTGCAGGCGAGATACTTTTGGTAGCTTGTCGGGCTATCTGAGAGGGGCGGAGGAATCAAACTCGGGTCGGCCATGTTGGCTGTGTGCAAGGCAAACGCCCTACTGCTGTGCTATCGCTCCAGCCCCTTCGATAGGCATGTGGTCGAAACAGTACCAGAAGCCTCCATGGGATGGACGACAGCAGGCCGCTGCCTCCATGCCCTGGCTGCTCGTGGGAGGCCAGAGTCCACGGAATCCTTTCCCTGCCAGAAGCCTGGCTGGCCTCCGCGAGGGGAGCCCTTGCAGGCCAGTGTAAGCCTCCAGTACAGCCCATGAACCACACGGAAAGTTTGGGGGCAGGGGTGGTAGGGAAGGGTCACTCTACAGAAGGATGCTTCATGACATGCAAAAAGTCAAGTCTCAGAGTCAGATTTCAGGTCCAGAATGCAAGTTTTATTGGCATTGGCCCATGCTTAGTTGTTTGCCTGTTACAGCGTGTGTGATGTGCAGGAGGAGGCCTGCAGGCTTGCAGCAGACACCCGAGGGCTTGCACACCCCAAGATACTGACTGGCCTTGTCCAAGGGGGAAAGGAAAACAACAGGGCCCTACTGGAGGGAAGGATGAGATAATTAAGCCAAACAGTGTGGTCAGGAGAATGTGCCCTGCTGGCTTGTTTTTGTTTGTACTTTTGGCTTTTAATGACCCCCTGGAGAAGCATCTGTCCTCTGTCTGTACCTCAAGCCACTGACCAACAGTCTCTAAGCAGGAAGCTCCTTCCCACTTCCCAAGCCTCCCAACCCCCACAGTTCCTTTGGAGTCGCTGGCAGCCTCTCCCCAGCCTTCTCCTGCTCCAGGGGGATGCTGCAGCACGTTCCTCATCGAAGGCAAAAGCAATAGTTGAGAAAGGCCTTATCGTATCTACCCAGTACCTGAACACCACATGCTCCACGGGATATTTAAAACTCAGTCCAGCTGAGGTCCAGAGAGCTGGAATGATAAAGCTTTGTTCAGCCCCAGACTTGTAGTATGTCCACAGATGTTCTTGTTTAATCATTTTTATTCGGGCGAATATCAGATAACAGTGCTCATTTCCTCCTCTCTCTTGTGAGAGTCAAGTTTATGAGTCTGTCTTTGCCCGCCTTGATTTCTGCATTCCATTTCTTGTTCTCTTTGACACTCCCTTAAGATGTCAACTTGTAGCATGTTGCAGCTGGAGAATGCCCTTGTCCAATGTTTTTTTTACGAATTTAGTTTTTAATGTGGAAATAAATCATCAAGGCTCAATGAGTTGTTTGTCTTTTTTTTTTTTTAAGGCAGCTAAGTTCTGACTTGATGAGCTGCTAGCAGTGAAATGCAGTCCATTGCCTTATATAGCTTCCTCCTTGCCTGTGGAATCCTGTTTTGGAATATGCCAGATCTCCCTGGTCCCCAGGCTGCAGGCTTCAGAGAGCTGAGCAGAGAGCGGGGGAGCAGCGTGAAACCCTCTTGAGTGGGTTTTCTTACCATCTTGAGATGAGTTTCTGAGCACTCCAGTCTGGTTACCAGGCCCACAGAGGTCCAAGAGGCCCAGGTCAAAGAACTAAAATGATGTTTTTGCATTTTCTGAGCAAAACCCTTCCAAATGTCTGTAGGTCGCTTATGTGCCCTCACTCGTTTAAGGGGAGCATCTAACAGGAGGAGGACTCTACGCACAGAGTGTGCCAGCACTCCTTTGACCTCCTGGGAGCCTCCCAGAGCCCCTACTTTACGAAGGCGTGGGGTGGGGGATGTCATTCTTCCTTGACTGCAGAACGAAAACCAGTGCTTGCTGCAAAGCAATTTGAGCAACATGCTACGAGTCATTTAGGGCAATGGCAGTGCCGAGGTTACAGATCATTAGACTTCCGGTGTTTCATTCCCACCTTCATGCCGCCTTTGTGCTGAAAGGATGATTTTTGGGTTCAGGTGTATGTGGATTCTGTGGTCAGCCTTGCCAGTTACTAGCCAGGGCCTTTGGTCTTGCTAGGAAGCTCTCTGGGGGCTCATTTCTAGACATAGGATAACCCCCGAGCATGGACGCGTAAAGTGCTCCTGGGAGTCGGGTGCCGAGGCACAAGTAAGACTTCCTTGTTGTTTCAGCACACGTTTCTTCCTGGAGTGCCTCCAGAAGAGCCAGACAGGGGAGAAATCTGTCCTTTACCATATAGATTCATTCTCTGAGTGGCCGTGGTAGAGCCAGAGCTAGGACTAAACATAGTAGTGACCTCAGAGTTCCAGACTGTCCTTCACTGGGGACATCACCTGCCCATGGGCATCACGTAGGTTTGAGTGACTGACCCATCAAAGGAATCTGCATGGGACCAAGGTAGGTGCGTGGAACGGGGGTAGGCACCTTCTTGCTGGAGGACACTTACCCTCAAATCTCAGTCTCTGCCATGAGCAGGTCCCACATGAACTGTCCCCTCTCAGCATCCCACTAGGCTGTTTCAGTCACACACAGGCTGAAGGGCCTGCTCACGTGAAGACTTGAGTACCCAGGAGGGGCTGTGGAACTCCATTTTTATTGAGCAACAGTAACAACAAAGTCTCCAATGGAGACGTTACTGGGCCCGCTCGAGCAAATCGACGATCAACGGGAGGGCCTTTATCTTTTACCTTATGTGCGGTAGCCCAACAGGTCAAAACTCATCCGACTGACATCTGCCCCCCGCCCGCATCCAAAGCCTCTTGCTCCTGGAATCAGCCCCTGAAGGTTTAGAGAAAGCCCCTGGCCTCCGAGAACCTCCCGTAGGGAGAAGAGCCTGTGAATCCAGAAGCCCCTTTGGACCTGACTTGAATGGGTAGAGCATGTCCATCAGCATCACAGAGGCCACCCAGAGAGGGACCCCATGCCGTCTTGTGTGACCAGTGGACCCCATCCCGGCCCTCTTCTGCCTCCTGTTTGCCCGAGTGTGGAGCCATTCCCTCGCTGACGCCCCTCCTCCCTTCAGGGGTCTCTTCCATGTGTCTGCCTCTGGCTCCCTTCCCAGAGTTTCTCGGCTGGCAGTGGGTTCAGTGGGCAGGACCCGTTGCCCACAGGTACCACTAGAGTGGAAGGCTAGACAGCGAGGGGCTTGGAGCCCCGTCAGCCAGCCCCCCAGCTCAGTGTACCTGTTCCCAAGGTAGAGGGACACAAGGTGGCCTGGTGTCCACATGCCCAGCTAAGTCCAGGGGGCGATCGGAGGGCTCTGTGCACCCCAGGAGAAGGAGTGCATGGCGGAAGCCCTATCAAGAGACTCCACCCACTGGCCTGGCCAGTCAGGGAGCAGGGACGGGGTCACCCCAGATTCTGACATGCCGTTCCCTCGTCCCCCTGCAGGTATTAACAGAACTGAAGTCTGACAACCAGAGGCTGAAAGACGAAAATGGTGCCCTCATTCGAGTCATCAGCAAACTCTCCAAATAGACTGGCCCCCGGATTTCCGGGGGAAGAGCAGCCACCGCTCCCCACCCGCCTCTTCCAGCCATTGCCTTCCACCAAACGAAGTGAATGTGTTGGTGGAAGGACTGTCCTCTCCGCCCCCCAGTCACCTCTTCTGCTCTGTACATTCTCCTCTGCACTCCCCGTGCCCTGCTTCTCTGCCACCCCACCCGCGTGTGATGACAGCTGTCACTGAAGAGTGTGATCCTTTGAGCCATTTGAGCCCTCTGGAGAAGGCCTGCAGGAGCGCGCCGGGGCCAGCGGGGGCCTCCCGGTTCCTGCTGCTCAGCTCGTCGTCTGTGCTGGACTCGGCCCAAACCAGTCCCCCCACTGCCTTTTGCACTGACCCGGGTCTCCGATGCAGAGGAGTCTGGCGGCCAGTGCAGGGGCCTGTCTGGAAGCCGAGAGAAAGAGCAGAGACTGCGGGCCTCATCTCGGGGCGCCCCTGGCCCGTGTTGCTAGCCGATGCCAAGGGGACCGTGACTGCCGCGAGGGCCTCTGCCTCTCGTCACCTCTCAGGAACTGACCTCTCTCCAACTGCTGGTGGCGAGATCTGTTTGCTCAGCAACCCAGGAACACCCACTGACGAGTCTTAACACCTCTGCTCCCTTCCTCCCTCGCCCATCCCCAGGGCTCAGGCGATCCGGGCGTCCTTCGTTCCTTCCTTTCCTGTGCTGGCGCTCCTCTGAAAAGCCAGGCCCAGACTGTGGCCGAAGGTTTCTCTCTCCCACTCTTCTCCCGATTCCTCTTCCCCCTGCCCCACCTCTCCCCTCCACCCCCGCAAACTGGTTTTCTGGATGAGGAAGTCCAGGCTCTGCCGGCCCCTTTGACCTCTTCTTCCTCACTCCGCTCAGAGGGAGGATGTCATTGCAGGGGGGACCACAGTGGGGCTGAGGGGACAGGAATGGATGAAAAGGCATGAATGGTGCGAGCAGAGTGACGAAGGGCCTTGGCAGCTGTGTGTCAAGGCGCTGGGAGGTGCTGTGGACATGATGAGCTCAGCTGTTCCCGGTGGTTAGGTTTTAGGGAGAGACCTTAGTTTTCTTGGAAACGAGGGGCCGGAGTGATAGTACAGCGGGTAGAGCATTTGCCTTGCACACAGCCGACCTGGGTTCAATCCCAAATGGTCTCTTGAGCACCACCAGGAGTGATCCCAGAGTGCAGTGCCAGGAGTAACCCCTGAGCATTACTGGGTGTGACCCAAAAAGCAAAAAAAGAAAAGAAAAACGAACAGGAGAAATGACTTCTTCATAAGGGATTTGAAGGGATGGAATATTTTCAAACCATTCAGAAAAGTCCCAGAACCTTGGAGTTGCACAGGTGAAAGGTCATCTGGTCCAGCTTTTCACTGTGGGTCACAGCAGATCCCTCCTCCCCCCATCCACCACCTGCCACAACTTCTGAGCCCTGGTCAGGTGCTGTCAGCAGTTATTCCTCAAAGGTTGGTCAACTCCAGTAACCAGAAAAGCTTTCCTAGGATGAGCAGAGGGCTTCCTAGTACTTCTGGAAAAAAATCTAGGTACAGTTTTAAATTACAGGGCTGGAAACCTTTGATCTGCCAGGGGCCATTTGGATATTTATAACACCGGCCTTCAAATACAGGCCATGGGCAGCTAACGAGAAGCATCCATATCCGTCCCGTCATGCACCACGGGCAGACCACAGGATTTCATGGCCTTACACGGCCCACCGGCCAGATGTCCCCAGCCCTGCTTCATGGTGACAACTTTGGACAAGTGTTGCTGGTGAGACCCCCTTAATCTTCTGGCTGATGTTCCCAGGTTCTTTAGCCATCCCTTCCATGGAAAGCGCTCGTGCCTGGCTACGCCCGTTGTCCTTGAGCCAAAACAGTCTTTTAAAGATGCCGACACCTGAGCAGATGACTCTGTTAGTCCAGCACAAAGGAATCAAACCATAAGTGCTTGACCGTGCTCTCACAGTGATACTTAAAGTATTTTCTCTTTATTGGAGTCTTACCCCTTGTTTGGCGCATGTGAGTGTGAAGGTCACTTGACTCATCTTTCTGGAGTTGCAGTGCTTCGAGCGGTCGATTCTCCTAACTTAAATCTACCTCTATCCAGTTTGTCTCCGTGGCAGGAAAACTGCCCTGTGAGTGCACAGTCTTCTGAAATCTCCCGTACCCTGGAGGCCAGCAGGGTCACAGCAGATCTCCCCCCCCCCCCCCCCCATCCACCATCTGCCACAACTTCTGAGCCCAGGTCAGGTGCTGTCAGCAGTTATTCCTCAAAGGTTGGTCAACTCCAGTAACCAGAAAGGCTTTCCTAGTAGTATGAGCAGAGGGCTGCCTGGTACTTCTTGCAAAAGTCCCCGTGCCCCGGGGGCAGCTGTTTTCCAGGAGGGGCTCCAGCGAAGCATCTTGTGTTCCCGTGAGCACACTGCCAGCCAGTTCTCAAGGATCCTAGGCTTGTCTCTTCCACTGTTGGGCTCCTTATTCTCTGGGGTCCACGAGGTGGTCTCCTGACTCATCTCAGAAGTGGGTGGTTGCTGCCTCTTTCTCAGAAAAAGAGAATTTGATTATTAGGAGACGTCTTGAGCCCCTTCCATCTTGACCAGGAGGTGGGGCACCAAGAGCCCCTCACATCTGTCTGGTGCCTGTGAAAAGGGGGGACGAGTCCCAGAATTCTTGGCCAGCCTGTCCTCCCCTGCAGCGTCTTCCCCTCATGGTGCAGCTCTCTCCTGCGAGAGGGTTGTCCTCTTGATGGAATGTCTCTGTGCTTTTCAGTCCCGGGGAACTCACGGGCATACGAACTAGTTCATTGTATTGGACAGTCTGGCTTCTGGCCCTTCTCTTCACCTGTCCTGACCATGACCTGGAAGCCACTGCACTTAGGGTGCTGGGTGATCCGCCTGCCCAATTCTGTGCTACTTGGTCAGGCATGTGTCATCACACCTGCAAGCCCCCAGTCCTCGGGAGCTGGCAGGGTAACACAGGGGGCACCCCAGAGCCCAAGCCCAGGTGTGTGCAGCCCAGGTGTGTGACTTGCAGGTCTTCCCATGAAGTATCAAAAGAGGAAGGAGAGGCAGAGCTTGCCACGCTCTACTTCCATTGCTGTTCCTGTCAGGCCGCAGCCTCTGCGAGTAATGAGGCGGTCTCTCTAGCCCTCCTCCGGCCAGTTGGCCAGTTCAGCCTGCTTGGCTCATAAGGGCTACTGATTCTTTCCCAGCAAATTCTAAGGTACAGTGACCCCTTGCCCCACTGAGGTCTTCAGAGCAGCTGGGCTGTGCGATGATGAGGGCGTTGCCCGGGTGTGTTGAGTGCGGTCTCGCCGCTCCCTGGATAGGCCAATCTACCTCTGTCCCACCTCGGGGTGTGTGTGCACACGTTCCTGCTTCCTCGCCCATCTCCCAGCGCGTGGGGAGAAGCTTGGGTGGTTTCGTGGGGCCACTGTCAGGGTGGCTTCTGGGGTCATTGAAGTCATCCCCCACCCCTGGCCCAAACCCTTCCCTTGTCCTAAGTGAAACATGTGCTTCTCTTCAACAGTTCCACTCTGGAAGCTAAGAATGCTCGGCCCCAGCCCCCTCCCCTGCCCCCCATCTATTCTGATACAAAATAGATGGGAACTGCTGACCCTCTGCTGGGGGCTGATCCTCAAAGTCCTGCCCTGAGTGGGGTCTCTGGGTGAGGTCTCTTGCCCCATGTGGCAAGCCTGACATTGTTTCCCCTCCGTGAAAGGCAGGAGCAGGAGAGCAGATGAGGCCTGGAGAAAAGCCAAGGTGTTTCCATTTATTTCACTTCAAAGGGGGAAAGCCCAAGAGCTCAACCCCTCAGCTTATGGGAAGGGGTTTTCCCCCCTTCCCCTCCGCCCCCACCCCACCCGCTGTGACACTAACCAGGTCCTCCCAGACAGAACCAGGAGCCCATCGATGCCAGCATACACCTAATGCGGTCACAGGTCATCTGGGCCCAAATCTCGGCCCAGTCATGATCACAGCTCCTGGTCCCCAGGCTGGTTTTGAAGGCTGAAGGAGGAGAAGTCCTGTTAGGTCAGAACATCTGGGGTCCAGGCCGGTGCCCTGGTCAGCCTAATGATCAGGGACAGTTTCCTGCCCCAGCAGAGAATGAGGTTGAATTGGATGGTCTTTCGGATCCCTTCAGACTGAAGTGGATTACTCCTAGGAAGGTCAGAGCGCTTCTTAAACTCAGAGTTTTGCTTTAGCTTTAGACTTCCTTGTTTTCTTCTGGATTCCAGCTGTTTATCGTCAGCACGTCGAGGTTGGCTTCTCATCGTTGTTGGAAAGAGACTTGAATATTGGCAGTAATTGAATGGTGGTGCAATTGCTTTCTCTCCTAATGGCTTGGTAAGAATATTAAAACCTGCAGAGGTGGAAATTGGAGCTCAGGGGGAAGTGGATAGAAGCAATTTGTTGCAGGCAGCCTTTGGACAAATTGTTTTAATAGGAAATAGAGCCGTGCTCCATAGATTTCTCCAGCTACCTTTCCTTGGCCTGCTCAGATGTCGTCTGTGTGGTTCTCCTCATCCCCAGTGGGCTGACAGCATTTGGCGTAGCATAGCCTGGCCCGGAGCCTTGAACTGTGCCCTCAGAGCAGCAAAGGGGATTGTCCTCCATACCAGCCTCTAGCTGCTGGCACGCTGGGCCTCCGGACTCTGAGGAGCGGGCAGTGCCCGTGCTATTCGGGGTGCCCTTCTTTTAGAGCAGGTCAGCCGTGGCGGCACGATGCGGGAGACTGGCATGCCACTTGCTGCAGAACAGCACTCAAGCCTCCAGGCCTGGGCAGAACCAGGCATGAGTGGAAGTGGGACAGCGGGACAGCAGAGGGCCTGAGAGTGAGGGGGTCTGTGTGCCGTGGAGGGAATGGAGAGGGGAGCCGGCCGCCCCTCAGCTTCCAGGAGCAGAGAGTCCATCTATTTCCCTAACGGGTATTATCAGTGCTCGGGAACAAGGGTCCCTCTCCGGGACAGCTATTGGTTGAGCTTGTGCTATGATTGGAAAACAGATCCTGTTGGCTGCAGCCTGGGAACTGTCCTTCCCACAGTTCTTTGAGGATGAGGCGCTTCTTCAGGGCAGGTTCTTAAGCAGCCTGCAGCTGCTCTCCAGCCTGCAGCACAGGGGTCAGGGTCAGAAGGGGGCCTGGGCAGGATCCGCATGAGGCCAGGAACCTGGGTGAAAGTCCCCCAGTCCCCTCCCCCCAGGGAGAGAAGCAAATAGGAAGTGAGTGTATGTCCGGACCCAACTGAGAACTGTTCTGTCTGACCTCAGAAGGGTTCTCTTGGGCCCGAGAGATAGAGCAGCGGGGAGGGCGTTGACCTGGCGTGCAGTTTGCCAACCCCGCCACCCCGTGTGGTCCCCTGAGCACCGCCAGGAGGGATTCCTGAGTGCAGAGTCAGCAGTGAGCCCTGAGCATCGCCAGGTGTGACCCAAAGCCAAAAAAGAAAAGGTGGTTCTCTTGGGGGGGTCATGCCTGCTTCTCACGCCCACACTCCAGCAGCAGGGGGAGGGAGGGTCAAACGGAGCCTGCAGAGCCTCGATTAGGATTAGCCCCATGTATTCCTCGGATTCCTGTTTCCTGCTTTCCCCTTTCCTTCCCACCCCCCACCGCGTCCCCTGCCCCCCCCCCCCCCCAAACTCCCTGAGCTCTCTCCACTCCATCTGTTTATCATTTTGGACCATAGGCCTGCCAGAGTGATATTTGCTGTTCTTTCTCCTCCGAACTTTTCTCTGCCATTTCCATAAACTTTTCCTTGGGTGGCCCCTGAAGGTGACATCAGGCTGCTCTGATGTCCTTCCAACATCAACAGGCTGGTCACCCTCGCCTCCCTCTCGCCCGCCCTCCACAGCCCTTGTTCCTTGCCTTTCTCACATGGAGCTGATGGGGAAGAGGATGTCCACACGTCAGTCGGACTCCAGGAGGAAACCCAGAAGCGCCAGCGCCCGCCCCAGTTCCATCCCAGTGCTCCCTGCTGTGTTGACCAGCCCCTGGGGAAGAGGGTGAACGGCCAGGAGGCCCCGAAGCCCAGGGCAGTGCCCTGCTGTGTGTGCGGGGCCTGTGTCTCAGATTCTCCTGCTCGGTGTGGGTGTTTCTGGCTGCAGGGAGCCTCAGGGAGCCTTGGTCCTCAGACCCAGCACTCCCGCACCAGGGCCTCTCTCACTTCCGCTTGCTTCCACTCCCACCTGCAGGGCCTTCGGAGAGATGGGGGCGGGGGGGGCGGGGGTCCAGGCAAAGGGTCTGAAGCACAGGAGAGGGGCAGGGCAGGGTAGGGCCGTGGTGGGAATCTGCGGCAATCGCTCAAGCCCCTTCTCCAGCCTGTATCCTGCTGCCCACGGCCTTTTCCAGGCTGGGCCTGGCCCCGGACGACTGGCACCCCCGGGGAATGAGGAAGCAGTTGCATCCCAGCTCTGCTCATCAACACCACTGCATCAGCACCACTGCAGTGTCCAGCCTCTCTGGGTTCCAGAATGGCACCCTGGGAGCACCTCACTTTCCCCCTCCACCCCCCGCCCCCCCCCCCACCCTCCCGCCAGCACTGTTATGGCACCAGAGGTAAACTTTTCAGCAGAGTTGTGGGATTAACTTCAGTTCATTGTAAATACACCTGGGGCCGGGCGGGGGCTGGGGAGGGAGAGCCAGATCTGCTTTGTGACCTGAATGTATTTTTATGCAATTTTGAGTGGCCTTTCAACCCTGAGATGAATGACTTCGTTTTCCTGGTTGTTGTTATATAGTATTATTAAGCAGTCTGTGTTTGAAAGTTTGGGAATAATAATATTCACATCTATATGATGCCTGGAGACACAACAGTATTTATAAATGAGTAAATAAAACTGTGTTTTAACTTTGTGACTGGCCAGCCTGCTGTTTAGGAAACAGGTTTGCCGCAGTCGGCCCAGCGTCATGGCCTTGTCTCCTGTGTCTGAGGACAAGTAGGGCGAGGGAGCGCCTCCATTGGAGGTCTAAAAGGAACCCGAGGAGGGCTGGAGAGTACAGTGGGTAGGGCACTTGCCCTCATGTGGCCAACCCTGGTTCAGTCCCCGGCACCCCACATGACATGGTCCCCCTTCCCCCCACCAGGAGTGATTCCCTGAGTGATCCCTGAGTCCCACTGAGTGTGGCCCAAAAATCAAAAAGTAAAAAAAAAAAATTAGTGGAGCCACAAAAAATAGGTTGCCAAAGCCCAAGAGCATGGCTGCCCTGCGTCGGTCGGAACAGCGGCTGTGTGAGTGTGTCCAGACCCTGGGAAGATCTCCCTGTGTCCTGCTTCCAGGGCAAGCGGGGGCCGCACACGTTTTGGGGAGGGGGCAGTCACGGGCAAGCTGACGACAGAGCCGCGGTACCTGGGTCTGGCCCTGCCCAGCCAGGATTCAGGGCTGGTTCTGCATCCAGAAGAACCGACCTCAGCACCCTCACGGCCAGTGCTGCTGGCCAAGCAGATGTGCCCAGTCACCCGCTTGGCCCTGAGCACAGGAGAGTGGGGGCGGGGGGATTCTTCTCCCCTGCCGTCAGCCCGAAGTACACAGGTGTGATGTCATGAGCGAAGAGTTTGGGCCTGTCCTGGATGCTGGCCAAGGAGCGTGACTGATGGCAGGGCTCCCGGCCTCCAAGGGCATTGTCTGCGTCCCCTGGGCCACACAGAGACCAACTGTCACCCGGTGACAGCCAGAAGTCCCCGTGGCACACAGGCCCCCTGCCCCTCGCCCTGGGGCCAGGGGCCTGTCAGGGCTGCAGGAGTCTGGCTCTGCCTGCACTTCCCCCGCCCAGTGCTGGGATGGCCAGGAAGGACAAATGGACACTCAGCGGCGGACCAGAGCTCCCACACACACCCTCCCCACCCGCAGACAGGCCCAGGCCCCACTCGCCAGACAGACAAGGCCGCCCTCCTGACCACTTCTGGGCAAGGTGGCTGGTCAGCATGGAAGGGGCAGCTTCGGGGACGGGCAGGGCTGCTCCCCACAACCCGGATCTTTCCTTCACTCGCTGGTCTTCTGTTCAGGAGTCAGCTGAAGCAATGGGACACAGTGGACCCGGGTGACACTTCCCCTCTGCGTCCCTGTCACCAGGCTCAGACCACATGGAGGGCCAGTCTCACAGGGACATTCCCGGCCCCATTGTCCACCTCCCTGCGGAAAAGCAAGCGAAGCATGCTGGGCTCGAGGCCGGAGGTCCAGTCGCCCTGCCCAGCACCCGCCCCCCCCCCCTCCCAGGGCCCCGCAAGAACAACCAAGACACCCCCCACCCCCAGTTTTCTTTCAGCTCAGTTTCTTTAATAAGGAGACGCAGCTCATTACAAAATAACAATTTGACAAGAGATCAGACAAGAACAACAGAGTCCACAGGAGGGGGTGGAGAGCATTGCCAAGCGGGGATGGGCAGGGGAGGGTTATACGTGGTCCTTCCTGTGAAGACAGAGCGGGGGACTCAGGGGAGGCGCAGTGCACTCCAGGGTCTGCCCGGCATCTGGTTCGGAAGGGTCAGACCGAGGATTTCAGGAAGCAGCAAATCAAGCCCTTGGATGGTGGGGCTGGGGCAGAAGCCGGCTGCTTGGCAGAGGGTGTTGGGAGGGCAGAGGCAGCGGGTGGAGACTCTGGCCCGGCCCACGTTCGGGGCTCACAGGCCCACCTCGGCCCTCCCAGCCTCGATTTCTGTCTCTGCTGCAGGTGTGCTGAGGGAAAGCCAAGGAGGGGCGTGTCCCCCTGCACTAAATCAACACCCTGGCACCGCGTGCCCCAGCCTTACCGACAGGCCCCCACTCTGCGGGGGACAGGCCTGAGCCTCTCATGAAGCCGCGGGCAGGGCTGGGGGCTTGCGGGCTCCAGGTCTCTCTGGATCAACCACGCCTTAGGGCCGTGGGAGCCCCCAGACCCCGCTCCCCACTCTCACCTGGCTTGCGCTGAGGGTCCTCGCAGTGTGGCCTGACACCCCTCCCTGGTGAGACCTGGCACCTCCAGCCACCCTGCTCTAGGTGCGAATGCGGGAAGCTATCAGGCTTCTGGAGGGAGCGAGTGGGAACCCCAAGACCTCACAGTGGGGGGTTGGTTCTGTGAACCCCTGGTGGCCAGAGGGAACCTGGCCAGGCTGAGCCGCTGACCCGGCTGCTCCTGAAAACCCCGGTTGCCTCCACAGCGCCCCCAGGAGAGGGGTCCAGAGTGAGGGGCACACGGGGGGAGGGGGGGGACAGGGAGGGAGCCACCACCGACCCCCATGGGAGCCATCCAAGCGCCAGGCCCCCTCCATCCTCGACACAGGAGATGAAGGAGCAGGAGGGAGACCAGTGAACCCTTGACAAGGGTTCGTGGGGAGCCAGTCAGAGGGACATGGGGGGCTCCTGGGAGGAGCCGTCTCCAGCAGGAGGCCCCCTTATGGCTTTTCAGTTAATTCAAACAATGGGAGGAAGGAGCTCACACAAACGTACACACACATGCACACATATGCACACGTGTGCGTCCACACATGCACACGCACACACATGCATGCACACATGAACACATATGCACACTTTTGTGTTCACATACGTGCATGCACACGTGTGTCCACACATGTGCACGCACATGCATACACACATACATGCTCACATATATGTGCACACACATGTACACATGCATGCAGACGTGCACACTGTACATCCGTACATGTGCCCACACGTGCATTCACACATGGATGCACACACATGTTCATGTGTGTTCACGCATTGCACACACGCATACACGCACACGGGGAACACAGAAGCTCCCGGGCACCGGACGCAGGCGGACACGGCCTGGGGTTGCTCTGCAGGCGGATGCTTAGCAGGCAGCAGGGACGGGCCAGCAGACACCAGCGTCCTGGGTCCCCCAGCCTCTCCCCTGGCCAGGCCGGGCCAGAGCAGGACGCTGCCAGCTTCAGCCTCACAGAGGGGCACCCGGGGTGGGGGTGGGGGCGAGACAGGGGTGGGGAGACAAAGACTTGACTGACACACATCAAACGAGCAGCCTCAACGAGTCGTGAGAGATGGACTGGGCTGGGCCATGCAGCTATTGACGGGAAGTCAAGGCATGCATCTCGCGTCAGAGGCCGGAGACGTGACCTTCGAAGAGCTAAACGCACATGGAGGGGGCAATGGGCTCAAATGGCTTCAGAAGGTTCTTGTTGCTTAAAAAATAGATTTGTGTGTTGCTTAAAAGTAGATTTGTGTGTCTTCAAGTTGCAGCGTCCCCTTCTCAGTATTGCAGCTCGAAAACAGAGAAAATTTCCATGGCCAGTCCCTGGCCTCTCGGCACTGGGGGGTGGGGGAAGAAGTGGTCAGGAGGGGTTGCCAGGCTGAATGCAGGTGCCCAGTTCAACCTGGACCTCAGGCCCACTGCAGATCTCTCTTAGCTTAGTGTGTCACATATATTGGTTGTTGAGCTGGAAATCAGATTAAACTGGGCAGCCTGCTTTGATTTGCCCAGTGTGATGACCAGGTCATGGGGGTTCTGAGACACCAAGATCAATCCTTGGGCTACTTCACTGCCACCTCCTGCCACCCGGCTGAGGGGATAAACTGGGGGGCAGGGGCCATGCCAGACCCCACTTGCTTTCTACCAGCTTGCTCCTACTGAAACCGGGGTGACCAGAATTGGATCTTAGCAGAACATGGACACACACCTGAGCCTAGGCAGCTTCTCAACCACCTGCAGCCCCAGGGCTGCCTGCATCCCCGAAGGAGGAATCCCCGTCTCTCCCTGGGCCCCAAGCCAGCAAGACCATCCTGAAGCGACCACAGGTACACAAGGCAGGGAGTCATGGGGAGGAAGGAGCCCCTCCCTGCTGCCCCCCCTCCAGGCCTGCATGTGCTGAGGGACCCTGAGCCCCCTGTCCTCTTACTGCCTCCTGAAGTCTCTTCCAAAGTTGCCCCGTCTGCCTGTCACCACGGCGAGCAGGTCTAAACAGACGAGGATTCGAGGAGGAAAGGGAACACACGCTTCTGGGGGCCCCCAGCCCCATTCATGGGTGGGTCTGGGCCTGCCCTCTAAGAAGTCTCCTCTCTATGATATTCCCCTCCGGATGACTCTGGGGTGAGTGCTTGCTCTCACAAACAGACCCCAGAACCCTGCTGGCAAGATACGCAGACACTCTGCCTCAGGCCTCCCCATAGTGAGGGTCTGGGATAGCCCTCGGTGTAGGGAATTCACACGCTCACGTCCATTGCCCTTTCTCCTGCCTGGGCCCCAGACAAATGCCTCTGGGACTCTGGGTATCCCAGGCCAGACGAACCCTGGGGAGGAAACTGCTCCCCCGGTTAGCTATTCCCAGCATCTGTCTCTCAGCAACCTGCGCACCCCCACCCCCCACCCCGCCTCAAGCTGCCCTCTGGAGGTGGGTCCAGGGCAAGACACCCGCCCTGTCTAGAACTTGGGGCACTCCAGCAGCAGGGATGCCCACCGGCCCTTCTGTCCACCATGGAGCGGGGCTGGTGGGCTCTGGGGGGGGAGGGCTGGCTGCAGTGCACTGGCAGAGAAGAGCCCCCACGGAGGGTGGACTGGGAACAAGCCAGAGAATGAAAGGGCGCGGGATGAGCATGAGGGAGACCTTGGGGAAGGCAGGCCTGGGGGCTGCTGTGAGGGGAATATGGGAAGACCCTGAGAAAGCACCAGAACCCCACAGCTCTGCAGGCGGGAAAGAGTCAGAGACTTCTGCTGGCCACACCAGCACCTGCGACACTGCAGACACCCCCGTTCTGAAGGAGCCCACAGTCCTGCTCTCCTCGCCGCCCAGCTCTGGTCTCGGGGACCTGCGCTCCATCCAAGCGGTTGCCAGAGCCCAGCCGTTCCCTTCAGGCGGTGGCACACAAAGGCAGACACACGTGCACGCACACACGGGCACGCAGACACGCGTGTGCACGCAGCCAGTACAAAACACGTACTTTCTGGGCACCCTGGGCGGAGAGAGGGCAGCTCTGAGCCCTGCTTCCAGCCTCCCTGTGGCCTGCCCTGCTCTACGTAAACACGCCCTGAACAGAACCAAAAGGCCCTTCTTTCCCTGTTGAGAACACCGGAAGACACTCTGCAGCGTCTACACTGTTGGGTCTTCAAGGTGTCCCATTGCTATCCACCCGTCTTAGGTGCCCATAGCACACTGAGGCGGCGGCCCATTGGGGCCAGGCAGGAATTTCTGCCATTTTTTTTCTGGGGGGGGGGGGAGAGAGAGAAAGAGAGAAGGGAGGGGAGAGAGAGAGAGAGAGAGAGAGAGAGAGAGAGGAAGAGGGGGAGGGCGAGAGAGGGAGAGGGGGTAAGGAGGGATAGAGAGAAGAGAGAGGGTGCCACAGGCTCTTGGGAAAGCTGTGAGTTTTCTATGGTGACAGATGGGCAGGGGCCTAGGGCCCCGTGCATGAGAGAGGGGACAGGGGGTCCGCAGTGCCGGGCCTCTCGCTCAGGCTGAGGTTTGGAAGAGGACTCAGTGCAAACTTGACTGACATATATATGGCTTTTTATCAATGCTGGCGACGAAAGGTGACAGGAAATGGGACACAACAGAACACGAGGCAGGAATCCCTTCCCAGCAACGTGGGACGTGGGACGGAGGCCCTGCTCTGCTGGGATCAGAGAAGCTGCTGATGAAGGGTGGGGCGGGGCCTCCCCACAGGTTCCCCAGGTCGAGCTGCCCCTCCGCCACCCACAACGGAGAGCAGTCGAGAGGGAGCTGGGGGAGGCCCAGAGCGTCCCACACAGTCTGTGCCTGGTGTCCACAGTCCTCCCCTTCTGCCATTCCCGTCCCTTCTTACCTGGACCTCGGTGGGGACTAAGAACATTCAAACCTTCCTGTCAAAGTTCTCTGGCTCTGTCTACACATTAACGTGGTTTCCACTAGCGCTGCTTGGCGTAAATGAAAAAGAGAGAAAACAGAAGCAAAGGCAGGCTGAGGAGCAGATGCAAATGAACTGCGGGGCAGATACTCAGGAAAGGGAAGAAGCGTCTGTTTCCCACGGGGGAGGGGGCGGAGACCCAGGAGTCTCGTTCTTGTTTTGTTTTTTTTGTTTTTTTTAGGTTTTTGTTTGTTTGTTTTTTTTGTCTTCCTGGGTAATGGGGTTTGTGTTTCTTAGGAATCTGATATTAACCATCAAGGAGCGGGAGGTCCCGGGACTGCTGGTTCGAGTTCGAGTCTGACCCATCGAGCAGAGTTCATTGTCACGAATGTCGAGCAAACCATGACTGGCAGGAGGAAGTTTGTGATGGGGGACAGGGGTTTGGTCCTAGTTTTGGGCAAATCCAGGCTTCACAGCTTGTCTCCGAAACGGCCACCCACGCGGAGGGTGCTTCCAGAGTCCGACCCGGCTCGGAACCCTCTCCCCGAGCGAGTGAGCAGAAGCGCTCCCACTGAGACCGTCAACTTGGCTCGTTCCAGAGTCCCCACAGAGCCTCCACACAAGGTCACTGTCCCCGGCTCTTTCCAAGGACTCAGAGCTGCTCACGTGCACGCACACCCGGGATGCACGCCCGCACACCTGTCCACGCATCTGCACACACACGCACTGCCGGGTCGCCTTCCTCCTCTGGGAAACAGGACGTACCACCGTGGTGTGGGTCCAGGACACTCAGAAAACAGGAAATGCTGCAGCTGTCTGCCGCCAGAGGGCTTCACTCAGGGGGAGGCTTAAGTGAAGCGTTGGGAGTGTGTGTGTGTTGGGGTGGGGGTGGGGGGGGGTAGTGGCATGCAGCAGGGAAGAGCCAGGCTTCTCTGGAACCTCGGGGGGGGGACTCTCCGACACAGCCCTCAGAAGGAAGTGGGTCTTTCCAGAGGGAAAGGGGAAGGGAAGAAACCGAGGACACCACCACAAACGGAGGGGAGGAAGAAGACCTGGAGGTTGCGGAACTGAGGTATCGGTCGCTCTGCATCTGCCAGTGTCCGAGGCGTCCCGGCCACTCCTGCCTACTTGTTCTTGCCCAGCAGCGCGTCCACCTCCTCCTCGGGCTTGAGGGAGTGCCACTGCGCGATGGGCCTCCGGGGGTTGGCCAGCATGTCGGACCAGTGCCGCAGCTCCGTGCCCGTGGCGTTGCTGCCCACGAAGATCTTGCCGATGGCCTCGTTCTTGCCCAGCTTGTCGTAGTCCAGCACGGTGACCACGACCTGGACTTTCTGCAGAGGGAGAGAAGAAAGGGAGTTGGCGCCAGAGGGTGGAGGTCACCCGGGGCCAGAGAGCACCCCCTCCACCCACCTCTGCTCCAAACAAGGGGTCGGAGAAGGCCCCCCACAACGTCTTATTTATGGCACCAACAAGATTCAGCTTGGACAACAAATGATGGCGAAATAAAGAATGGCCAAGGGCAGTGCCAGCAAAGGGAGCTGGAATTCAGTAGGAAACAGAGCAGCTGCCGGGCTTGGTGGGGTGGGGACAGGGAGGGAGCAATGTCCATGGTGGCGAGATGTGCTCGGCTGGGAGGCAGAGAGGCGGGAGTGTTACAGATGGAATCCTATCAGCAACGGTGCTGCAAGCCATAGCAGCACTACAGCACTGTCGTCCTGCCCCGTTGTTCATCCATTTGCTCGAGCGGGCACCAGTAACGTCTCACAACAAATTGTGAGACTTCTTGTTACTGTTTTTAGCATATCAAATACGTCACAGGGAGCTTGCCAGGCTTTGCCGTGCAGGCGAGGTACTCTCAGTAGCTTGCCGGGCGCTCCAAGAGGGGCAGAGGAATCGAACCCAGGTTGGCCTCGTGCAGGGCAAACGCCCTACCCGCTGTGCTATGGCTCCAGCCCATAGGCCACAGTGCAAAAACTTATTTATAGCCAAAAAAGCACCTCTGAAACCTCAGGCCTTCTCAGAGTGGGGATGGACGGCCTCCCTCCACCTCCCTGTACTTCCAGAAGCCTCTGCAGCCACACCCCATGCCCCACCATCACCACCACATAAGCTCATCTACAGCCCTCTCCAGAGACTCATAAATAAATCTCAGAAGAGATCAACTAGCTGCAAATATTTCTCAGACAACCCTTCCAACTGAGACCTCAGGGGCAATACTGGAGGCAGGGCGGGCCAGTTTCCACCCAAACAGAACCTCAGCAGCTACTCCCACACCCCAGAGCTGCCGCCATGCCTCGTCAGACTGCCTGGTTACATATTCTAGATTTTCTGGAGCAACATGTCCAAACTCATATCCAAACATTTCACAATCCAGTAGTAGTGCAGGGAATTGGATGGGATGTTATGTAGAAGCCGACCAATCTGAACTAACAGAAACAGTAACACAGAAACCTTAACTTGTAGCAACAGCTTAGTAACAGCTTATTCCTCACCTCAGACAAGGACTTAATGTCCCCCAATTAGATAGAACAGTTTCCACAAATTTTTTTCTATAGAGATACATTTTTTTTTTCTTTTTGGGTCACAGCCAGCGATGCTCAGGGGTTACTCCTGGTTTATGCTCTCAGAAATTACTCCTGGCAGTGCTTGGGGGACCATATGGGATGCGAGGGATTGAACTCCGGTGGGCCGCATGCAAGGCAAACACCCTACCCTCTGTACTACTGCTCCAGCCCTACTGCTCCAGCCCCCTAGAGATACTTTTTGATCATTCCATTAGCCACTTAGTGGTAACAAGCAGTGTAAAATAAATGACTCCACAGTCTGCTACTGGGGCAGGCTTGAGGAAAGTTGGGAAAAGGAGGGTAATGGTGGAGAGAAGGTGACGGTGGTGGTGGGATTGGGGTTGGAATACTGAATGCCTGTAACAAGAGCATCATGAACATCATAAACCACAGTGTTTAAAGTGGGGAGGGGATGCCTCTGGAAGAAGCATACTGTGAGTGGGAGGCAGATGTGGTGAAGGGACCAGTGTTGAAACACTCTACGCCTGACACCTAATTATGAATGACTTTATAAGTCCATGGTGACTAAATAAATAGATACTATTTAAAAAAAATATTCAACTTGGGGCTGGAGAGCTAGCACAGCAGGTAGGGCGTTTGCCTTGCACGCGGCCGACCCAGGTTCGATTCCCAGCATCCCTGATGGTCCCCTGAGCACGGCCAGGAGTAACTCCTGAGTGCAGACCCAGGAGTAACCCCTGTGCATCAGCAGGTGTGACCCAAAAAGCAAAAAAAAAAAGACTCAACTTGAGGGGGCCCAGTTGGGCGGCTGGGGGGCGGGGGGCTGTCCTCAGAAACAACCTTTGTGGCTCCCACGTGGCATTTCTGGAGACTGCGCCATGCCTGGGTGCAGGCAGTGAGGAGAGGAGGAAAGGTGCTCCTCCCTCTGCCTGGATCAGCAGACGTATCCTCAGAGCCTGCCAGCACTGAGTGGCGCGGCGGAACTCGGAGGAGGCCCTGCTTCGGGGGACCTCAGGGTGGAGGTCATATGTCAGCGGGGAGGTGACAGACGACGATTTCCAGAGAGAAGCAAGAGCATGGCAGGAGGAGAGACGAGCTTGGTGGGAGCAGAAATAGGACAGTAGCTTTGGTGTCTGGGAAACCCAAGCTCGGGTCATCGACGCAGAGAGTGAGAAGCAAGGAGGCAGGAAATGGGTCAGGAGTTTGCGCCTTCCCCTCCAGAGGGGTCTCCTGAAGTCTTGGTGGCAAACAGTAATCCCCATCACTAGCTTGAAAGGGGACAAAGGGAATGATGGGGGCTAGTGGGGGAGGGGGGAAACCACTGGATGCCTGAGCCCGAGCCCAGAAGGCATGGGGGACTGGAGTGGTCAGAGCAGCATTCAGGGTACACAAACACATGAACACCTGTCACCATGTGACAGCTGGATGGGCTGAGGGGACACAGGGTGCCCGGCTCCCCGAGCCCCCTCCCCTGGCAGTGCCCTCACTAAGTTCCCTGACCCCCCACTTGTGTCTGCCCTGTGGCATGAGTGCAGTGAGAGAATGGGGTGCAGGGTGGGGTTCCCGGTGAATGGAACGGAGGGCACGGAGGGAGGGCGAAGCCAGGCCCGGCCCAGGACTCATGGCTTCTACCTCACAGGAGCTAACGTGGCGGGGCAGCCCACTGTGGCTGCGGAGTGTTCTCCAGAGGCCAGAGCAGCTCCGTCAGGAGAGAGACACAGCTCCCAGCGCAGCCACCAGGCTGTGGGAGGGACCTCAGGACTGCCACCAGGACCCGACCCCTGATCCAGAAGTGTTGGGAAACACCCTCTCCAAGGCCTGCAAAGGGAACCGTGGGGGGCCAGGAGGAAGGGGGCAGAGGCAATGGGAGGCCACCTACGGGACACAGAAGAGAGGGGCACCGAGGCCACAGGGCCTGGGGAAGGACAGAGGAACCCCGAGGGTCCCTATCTCCTCCCCCAGCAGGGCAGATAGTCCCCCAAATCTACAGGAAAGGGGGTGGCAGGGTGAGGCCCCAGGAGGAGGCCCTGCCTAGAGCCGGGCTCCATGTCCCTGGGGGAGAGCTCCCACCCTCCAGCCACCCCCACCAGACGAAGGCCCGGGGCGGGGGGGCACCTGGATCTGCTCGAAGGGGATCTCGAAGCTGAAGGACTCATTGAAGTAGGGGTTCAGCGTCTTCTTCTTCACCGTCGTCTTCTTCTTCTTGAGCCTCTTGCCGTTCTGCATCAGGTGGATCTTCACGTAGGGGTCTGTGCAGGGACACGCCGGCCTGAGCCACTGGGCAGCTCGGACTCCCGGCCAGGCCGCCCAGCTCCAGGGCCAGTGGGGGCTCCCCAAGGAACCATCTGAGCCCCGTGTGGCCTCCCTGGAAACCTTGAGCTCTTCCTGAGCCTGAGTAGGGGCTGGCTGTGAGGGCGGGTGGGAGTATGCTAGAGTGTGTGGGTGGGTATGTGTGTGTGTGAGTATGGGGGTGGATGTGTATGGATATGTACAATAATGTGGGAGTGTGCAAGTGGATATGTGTATATATGTGATAGTGTGTGGGAGTGTGGGAGTGGATGTGTACAATAGTCTGTGTGTGTGTGTGTGTGTGTGTGCGCGCGCATGCGAGCGGGTGGATCTGTGTGTATATGCAATAGTGTATGTGAATGTGTGTGTACGCGGGCGAATGTGTGTGTGTGTGAGTGGGGGGGATGGATGTTAAGTGCATGATAGTGTGAGTGTGTGTGTGTGAGAGAGTGTGTATGTAGGTGGATGTATGTGAGAGTGTGTGGATGTGTGTGGATGCGTACAATTGTGTGTGAGTGTGTGGGGGTAGGTGTGTGTATACATGGGCAATACTATGTATGTATGTGAATGTGTGTATGTTTGTGCAATAGTGTGTGTGAATGTGTGTATGGGCGACAGTGTGAATGTGGGGGGGTGGATGTGTGTGGACGTGTACAGTAGTGCGTGTGCGTACGTGTGTGTATGTGTGTTCTTGTGCGATAGCGTATGTGAGTTTGCGTGCTTGTGTGTGCAATAGTGTGAGAGTGTGACTGTGCATGTATGAATGGGGGGCGGGGAGGTGTGCTGGTGGTGGTGGAATGCTTGGGGATATCTGTCCCAGGCAGGGCACAGAGAAAAACAATTGCTGACCCCAAGTCCACTAAGCCCTCCTGATGTTGCAAAGGAGAAAGAGAAGCCCAGAGAGGGGAAAGGGGCTACCCCAGGTCACACAGCAGGACCCACAGTGAGAGCGACCGGGGGAGAGTGCCTGAGGCTGAGCAGAAAGTGGCAAAGGCGACACACTCCCTGTGGCACCAGAGCTGCCAGAACCCACTAGAACCCACCAGAAGCTCACGCCCCTTCTGGCAGCTTCAGAGTTTCTCAGGGCCTGATTGTGGGGACACAAGGAGAGACCCGCCCTGGGAGTAAAACCCCAAGTTCCTGAGCCAGCCTGCAGTGAAATCTCTCTCGTTTCCTCCAAGGCTCACGGGCACCAGGAAGGAATCCCTGGGAGGTGCGGACACTCAGCAAGGCCGGGATGGGAAGCCAGAGCCCCTCTCCGTGGCCTCGGGCTGTCCTGCACCCCACCCTAGGCAAGGCGCGGGGGAGGGGTGGGGGGCCGGCTCTGCCGTGGCGGCTCGCTGGTACCACCCAGCGGCAGCGCAGGGTCCTGCACGTACCCGAGAGGCCGCCCACGTCCATCTTCTTCAGGTTCTTGGCTTCCAGGATGCAGACCGTGAGCTTTCCGGCCGTGGGCACGTAGCGCAGCGAAGTGCAGATGTCGCCCAGTTTCTCTGGCTGGCCAAGGGGAAAGCAGGGCGGGGGCGGGGGCGTCAGGACGAGCGTCCCTGTGCCCTGACGTGGCCGATGCCCGCCTCAACGCTGGGCAGAGCCCCTCGGCACCCCCCTCCCCATGTCCTGGGGGCTTGTCTGCTGCTGCTCGGCTCAGAAAGCACCTGAGAGTGAGAGCGGCCCAGCGGGAGAGATAGGCGATGGGGGAGGGGGGCAGGTCTCAGGCGCCTGCTGAGGCCTCCAGGAGGTGAGAACGGGGTGTGGTGCCAGTCCAGGGTCAATTCCAAAGATGGGTCACTGCCCCCCACCGCCGCCACCCTACCTGCAGGGACAGGTGATTTTCAAAGCCCTTTGCACCCCTTTTCTTAGGTGGCCGTCATTGCGCCCCCCTCCCTCCCTCCCCCCCCCTTTCTGCAGAGGGCCAGTGGGAGAGTCCCAGGGCTTAGCATGGCTGGGGGCAGGGGAGACCCCAGGGTCCCTGAGTCCTGCCTGCCTCTCCACATCCAAGGCCCAGGGGAGCTGGCCAGAGCCCCAGGGGGAGGAGGAGGGACGTCCTACAGTGAACGGCAGAGGCTGGCACAGGGCTGGACACACAAAGAGGCCCAGGCCAGGCTGCCTGGCCAGCACGGGGCTGTGCTGTGCATACAGCAGGTGCTCAATAAACAGCGCAGGGAGAATAAGGCTCAGGCTGACTTCTTTAGAACAAACATGGGTTTTCCTTGGGTAAAGTGAGTCAGTGAGAGGGATGCATGGATCCAGGTGACATCAGAATATGGGGAGCACTTGAGGGCTGGAGCAATAGCACAGAGGGTAGGGCATTTGCCTTGCATGTGACCGACCAGGGTTCAATTCCCAGCATACCATATGGTCCCCTGAGCACCTCCAGGAGTAATTCCTGAGTGCAAGAGTGAGGAGTAATCACTGAGCATGGCCGGGTGTGACACCCCCCCCCCCCCCGAAAAAAAATGTGTTGAGGACCTACCTGACCAAGAACAGCAAGGACATGTGGGGCGGGGCCTGCGTGGGGGCGGGGCCTGCGTGGGGGAGGGGCCTGCGTGGGGCGGGTCCTGCGTGGGCGTGGCCTGTGGGGGCGGGGCTCACGCTGCCCTGCACTCACCTCCTCCTTCTCGCCGCCCTGCAGGTCCCGCCACTCCTCGATGGGCTGGCCCAGGTCCACCGTGTTCATGGGCACCTTCACCTCCCCAATGATGTCATGCTTGGAGAAGCGGTCGAAGTCGTAGATGGCCATCACCAGGGTCTTGCCCCCCAGCTCCTGGTAGGGCACCTACGGACACGGCACAGCCTGCTCAGAAGGGGGTGCAGGGCTGCAGGGCTGAGGGAGAAGAACTCGGGGTCTGGGGGAGCAGAGTGCAAGGGCAGGCGGGTGGCTCCGAGCCCCACAGTCAGCGGCACCCCTGGTCCAGGCCAGGCTGGTTCCAGGGACCAAGGGCACAAGGGCCCCCGCAGAATGGGCAGAGCTGGGTGGGGTGGCCCGACCTCCCACCCGCGTCACCTTGAAGGTGAAGGTCTCGTTGAAGGCGGGGTTCAGCGTCTTCCGGTGCACTTTCGTCTCGTATTTCTTCTTCTTGTCTGGAAGGAGGAAGACTTTGACGTAAGGGTCCGAGGTGCCTCCCATGTCCAGGGCCGGCAGCTCCGCGGCCTGCAGCACCCCCACGGTCAGCTGTGGAGAGAGCGGGGTGGGCGCCTGAGTCCACGGCCGGGCCCGACGAGGACCACGGAACCGGGCCCCTGCGCCCCACGCTGCAGAGCTCTGCCCGGTCCTCCTCGTGGGCGCCCCTGCCCCCTCCCCGGACAGAGCAGTGCCCAGAGGGCTCGGGAGCTGCTCCTGGACCACCCAGACCCCGGTACCTGGTTGGCCTGGAAGTCGTAGTCCAGAGAGAACTGCAGCTTGCCCAGGTTCTCGGGCTCCTCCTCGCCCTCGCCCTCGCCCTCGCCCTCCGTCAGGCCCGTCTCCGCATCGTCGTCATCCTGTAAGGACTGGGGGGCAGGAGGGACAGGCTGAGGGGCCCAGCCGCGGGGCGGCTCTGCGTTCCTCTCTCCCCTCACCGCCTCTCCGCCTCTTGGGGCGCGAGTGGGACGCTGCTCCCTTTTGGCCCCCTCCCCAGTAGCTCCCCCCACTCTGGGCAAGACTTACCAGGGGGGCAGTGCAGCCGTTCCCGCGTGGAGCCAGGCAACCACCGAGGCGGGCAGAGAAGGAAGAAGGGGCCGTGAGAAGGCGTCCACCCCACCCGAAGCTCAGGCCAGCCCCTCCACGCCAGCCTGGGTTCTCCCTGGGGTGTGCTTGGACACACATGTCCACACAGGTACACATACATGCCTGCAAACACACTTAGTGCACACAGGCACATGGATGCGGGCGCTCACGGATGCATCCACACCTGCAAACACAGGCATGCACCCACACAATCAATGCACACTCTCACCCTCACCCTCACACCTGCACATGCATGCACACACAGGCACAAAGGCTCATATATGGGAATGCACATGTATACGCGTGCCTGCAAATACATGCACACACACGCTTGCATGCACGCACAGACCACCCTCCCGAGACCAGGCTCTCTCCTTCCAGTGCTCTCAGGTAAATGGGGGGTGGGAGGGGGGAGGGTCATGCTCAGGGTGTCTGGAGACTTAAAGGGAGTAACCTGGGATCTCGGGGACTTTTCCAGGAGGGCCGGCTCCCCTCCACACACACAGCCGAGTTAGCTGAAGCCGTGGCAAGGGTGAGGGGAGCACTGTCCTCTTGCTGCCTCTTTGCCCCCTCCCCCGCACGTTGTCTCTGCAAACTACTGTCCCTCAGCCCCCCAGCCCCCATGGGCCCCCAGAAACAGTGTCTTTCTAGTGGCGACAGGTTCCTCACTCAGCAGTGATCGCAAAGCCCCTTTATGGGTCAGTATAAAATTCTTCCCAATGCCCCTGCAGGGGTGAGTCATCGCCGATGCGTGGAGAGGGACGGATGACTGGACAGGAAAGCAGAGAAGCTGCCTGCCATGAAGCCGCAAGACAGCAGAGGAGGCGCTGAAGGGGTGGGGGGCAGTTTAAAGCCGGTGAGGTCATGGGGACAGGACGGGGGAGGGGACAACGTTGAAGGGCAATGATCACTCTGGAGGGGGGTGCTTTCCACGCTGTGCATGGGTCCCTGTAATAGCACTGCAAACCACAGTAACTAAAAGACGAATAGGATGCTGGCTGGGCAAGGGGAGGGAAGTGGACACTGGTGAAGGGACAGCTGGGGAACATTACACGCCCGAGACTCCATCGTGAGCAAATCATAGTGTCTCATACATCAATTAAATTGGAAATTAATAAGCATAGGGAAATGGAAGGAAGGAAGGAAGGAGGGAGGGAGGGAGGGAGGGAGGGAGGAAGAAGGAGGGAGGGAAGGAGGAAAGGAGTATGGGGCGCTGCAGGGGATGAGTGGGGGAACAGCTGGGGTCGAGGATGAGCTCCCAAGACTTGACCCAGCAGATGAGAGGAAGGTGGCCCCTCCCCTAACAGGCCCCCCTTGACTTCCCAGCAGTGATTCCTCCCTCCTTCCTCAAATGGCCAGACCCAATGTCCAGTCACTATGTCTAAAACAAAATGTCAGGGACCATTGGGCAAGCTAATTGCCAGACAGCTGGGGAGAGTGAGGAACCAGAATACCCTGTTCGACTGATCCTGGGCTTGTGCAGGGAATCTTCCCTCGAAAGGTGTCCATCCACTGTTCTCCCTTTTCTCTCAAGGTATAGAAACCTAAGCCTGAAGGCAATAAAGTGAGTCTCCTCCCTGCAGAGGCTCCCAGAGCCGTTGGTTGTCTTTGTCTGTCTGGTCTCTGTCTTATCTTTTCCTACAGCTCCATACTCATCCTCCCTCTAGGGGCTGTCCTCCTTCCCTGTCTCATGTGCAATGGGTGGGCGGATTGCCACTGCCCGCTCTCCTGCCGGTTCCCTGGACCCAACCTGTCAGAATGACAAGGGAGGGAGGGAGACAGGGAGGAAGAAAGGGAGGGAGGAAGGGAGGTAAGAAGGAAGGGAGGAGGGAAGGAAGGAAGGAAGGAAGGAAGGAAGGAAAGGAGGGAGGGAGGGAGGGAGGGAGGGAGGGAGGGAGGGAGGGAGGGGGGAGGGAGGAGGGAGGAGAGAGGGAAGGAAGGGAAGAAGGGAAGGGAGAGAGGAGGGAGGGAGGAAGGGTAAGAAGGAGGGCGGGAGGGAGAGAAGGAAGGGAGAAGAAAGGGAGGGAGGGAAGGAGGAAGCAGGCAGATACACATGACCAGCCTGTGGGCGTCCAGGCGGCCTGGGCCAAGTCTCGTCAGTGCCCTGCCCCACGTGGTCCTACCTGGCCGCCCTTCATATCCTTCATGTTCATGGCGTTCTTCATGCCTTTGCCCTTCTCCTTCTTGTTCTTCTTCTTCTTGCAGCAGCATTTCTTGCAGATGCAGAAGCAGCAGGTGAGGATGAGGAGACCGGCCACCACCGCGATGGCGATCAGCGCCCAGGGCGGCACTGCCCGCAGGGAGAAGGACGCTGTGGTCAGCAGTGCTGGGCCTTGTGGGCCTCACCCCACCCACAGCAGAGAGCCCAGGCCCCTGTGCCCACGCACGCCCCGGGTCCTGAGAGGAAAAGTCGTGGGTGCCTGTGCTTTGGGCCTTATTTATAGTTCTCTTTTTTCTTCACCCCTTCCCTTTAATTTGTGCTTTTTTGTGGGGGTGTCTAGGACTCAGTCCTGACGCTGTAGTTGGGGTCACCCCTGATGGGGCTCAGGAGACCTTATGGGATCGAACCTGAGTTCGCTGCACGCAGAGTGAATCCCCTCTGGCCCATCTCTCTGCCCCCTCACTGCCTGCCCTCTGTGCCCCGCTTGCTAACCACAGGAGGGACACACCTTTGTTGGATTCTGCTGCATTTTGGCACCTTTACTCTAGAGAAAGGGCTGACCTGAGAGAAGAGGGGTGGGTAGGAGGAACCCCAGCTTCAGCACACCCCCATGCTCAGTCTCGAGCCCCTGACCCAGAGGCAGAAGAGACAAGTCCCCAAGGACCTAGAATCCTGTGTGTGTTTCAGGGTGGGGGACAGGGGTTGCGCCTTGGGTGCTCGCCATGATCCCGAGTCCTGCTCTCCTGGGCCAATGCCACCTCTACTGTCTGCAGCCTTTTGAGTTCAGGACACAGGGGACTTCCCTTTTCCACCTTCCAAAGGACACTCATTTTCTGAGTATCAGTGGACACATTGAATAGAGATTTCTACGGCAGCATTTTCCGTCTTCTCTTGGTTTCATCCTTCTGCAGTTTTCCAAATGATAAGCAATGTTTTCCTCCCGGAGATTGGGGCACACAGGTCCCCAGGCCCCCCGCATCACTGACAAACTGCATTCCCCTTCCTGCTGCGGAAGGGACTCGCCAAGGAATCCAGCCTGGAACTAGCCCCCCAGAACCCTGCCCACCTCTACTCACGGGGGATCTTGTTGATCTCGTTGAAGAATTTGTCCTTCAGCTTGGCGAACATGTCCTCCTTGCTCTCCCCGGGCCCCCCGCTCTCGGTGGAGTTATCTGCAGGCCCGACTGGCATGGTGGTGGTGGTGGTGGTGGTGGCAGCAGTGGCGGCAGTGGCAGCAGGAGCCACAACGGGCTCCTGGGTCTTCTTGAAGATGTTCCTCATGGTGACAGAGGACACAGCTGCAGATCAGGGGAAAGTTCTGTCCGAAAGATTAAAAACACTTTCAACAAACCCAAGACTAGGGCTGGAGTGATCACACAGCGGGCAGGATGCTTGCCTTGCACGCGTCAAAGAAATCAGGCAAGGGTTCAATCGCAGGCATCCCGTATGATCCCCCAAGCCACGCCAGGAGTGACCCCTGAGCATAGAGCTAGGAGTAAGCCCTGAGCACCATCAGATGTGCTCCCCGCAACAAAAACCCAGGACTGTAAGGAGTAGGGTTGTGGCTGAGTGAAGAGCATTTGGCTCGCATGCCTGAGGCCCTGGGTTGGATCCCAAGCACCACAAACAAACAATAACTAAACACTATGAATAATAATGCCCTTATACATCAAAGCCACTTCCCATTATATTAGGTAACATCTATCCCAACACAAAAACACGGCTTCAAAAAAACACAGGCACACCTAGGTTCACTGCAGCAATATTTACAATGAGCAAGATCTGGAAACAGCCCGAATGGCCAATGACAGACAAACGGATAAAGAAGTTGAGGTGTACGTGCATGATTAAATACTATTCAGCTATAGAAAGAGAGGAACTGTTGACTTTGATGACTGTGTGATAGAACCAGAGGGTGCTGCGTTCGGCAAAATAAGGGAGAAGGAGGGCGAATACCCGATGATCTCACCCATGTTGGACTGGAAAGAAACCAGGCAAGGGAGTGAGTGATGGTAGCCAATGAAAACAAGCCACTGAGCTCTGGCAACAGGCTGAAGTAGCTGAGAGGGGACAACCAGGGAGGGGGAGGAAGGGGTGACCTGAGAACGGTGCTGGAGGGGCTCTGGCACTCGGGGTGGTGGAGATGCAGCCATTATATCCCCCCAACTACTAACACTGGGCTTGAGTAAGAGTACAGCAGGTAGGGCATTTGCCTTGCACGCTGCCGACTTTGTTCAACCTCCCCAATCCCATCTGGTCCCCAAGTACCACCAGGAGCAATTCCTGAGTGCAGGGCCAGGAGTAACCCCTGAGCATCACCAGGTATGGCCCCCAAACAAAACAAACAAACAAACAACACCCCACGAACATTAACCCTGCTGTCACCATGTTACCCAAAATAATAATAAAGCCCAATGGGCTGGAGAGATAAAACAGCAGAACAGGTGCTTGCTTTGCACCATGGCCGACCCAGATTGAATCCCTGCTACCATGCACGGTCCCCTGGGCCCTGCCAGGAATGATCCCTGAGTGCAGAGCTAGGAGTAAGCCCTGAGCACCGCCAGGTGTGGCCCCAAAACAAAGCAATAAAAATACATATTTTTAACTGGGGTAGAACATAGTCACCATAAAATTCGCACATGTTGGGCAGGTGCTTTGCTGAGCCCCTTATCCAAGTCACCTAATTACTCCCTTTCACAGCTACAGGGATGGAGGCGCAGACTCATGAGCCCTTTCTCCAAGGCCACTGGAGAGAAAGAAAGAGGGTGAATGGCGCCGGACTCCATGGCCAAAAACAGAACCACCTCCTGCATCTCCTTTAACTCCAATCCTGCAGCCACTCAAGGAACAGCCGACTCTGCCATCTTCCCAAACCGACCTAAACTGTCTCCTCTCAGCCCTGCCGAGACTCTCCCCTTCTCTCCTCAGCCCTGTCTAGACTCTCCCTGTCTCCTCTCAGCCCTGCCCAGACGTCCCCTCTCCTCTCAGTCCTGCCCAGACTCTCCCCATCTCCCTCAGCCCTTCTGACTCTCCCCATATCCTCTCTCCCCTTAGCCCTGCCCAGACTTTCTCCATCTCCCCTCAGCCCTGCCCAGACTCTCCCGTCTCCCCTCTGCCCTGCCCTTCTCTCCCCTCACCCCTCAGCCCTGTCCAGTCTCTCCCCTCTCCCCTCAACCCTGATCAGACTCTCCCTGTCTCCCCTCTGCCCTGCCCAGATTTTCCCCTCTCCCCTCAGTCCTGCCCCATCTCTATCCTCCCGCTCAGCCCTGCCTAGACTCTCCCCGTCTCTTCTCAGCCCTGTATAGTCTCTCCCCATGTCCTCACCACACTCCCCCACCCCTCCCCTCCAGCCCCTCCCCAGTCCCTTTCCTCTTTAGCTGCTCCAGCATTCAGGGTACACCAAACTTCCCTCAAGAAAGAGGACCTAAACCGACCTAAACTGTCTCCTCTCAGCCCTGCCTAGACTCTCCCCTTCTCTCCTCAGCCCTGCCTAGACTCTCCCTGTCTCCTCTCAGCCCTGCCCAGAGGCTAACTCCCTCAGCTCTGCTCCGTGGACCCTCAGTCTAGACAATCAGTTCTCATCTCGGGATGGGTATCCAGCCCTGGCCCCACTCTCTCCCTGGCCACACGCGTTTGTTAGCAGCATGGGGGCCCTGGAGATGAGCCCTGGGCATACAGAGCTGCCTTACAAGAGCAAGGCCTGAAGTTCGATCCCTGGCGCTGACGCATATGTCCAGCAGGGTCTGGCAGCCGCATCCCAGCACTGCCACACGGCAACCGGTGTCAGGGGCAGCATGGCAGTGTGTCCCCTGTAGAGCATGGTGGGAGCACCACAGCTGAGGACTGCATCCCAGAGAGGTTATGTGAAAGCACCTGAACTACAGGAGTGCTTCTAGGGGAGCACCACAACGAAATGCATCTGTGAGCCCCAGTCCCTGCAACAATGAGGGGAAGGAAGGGGAAATGGGGAAGGGGAGTGGAGTGGAGGGGGGGAGGGAAACATTTTTTAAAAATCCAGGATTAAAAGAACGGGTGTTGAAATAGTATATGAATGAAACCTAATCATGAATAACTTTATAACTGTGAATCTTACTGTGGTTCAATATGAAAAATAATAAAATAAAAAATCCAGGAGAGAAGAAAATCTAGGGAGAGAGGAAATATTGAGAGAGAAACTCTCCATAATTCCACCATTCAGAAATCACTCAGGTTATTCTTTTGGGGCATTTTACAACACTTTCATTTTCTATAAATTTCTATAAATGAATTACAAATTCATTTTTCTATAAATTGAGACCCTATCGTTTATAGTTGGGTATTCTGTTTATGGTGATATTAATTCTATCATAAATATTTTCTTTCCACTAAGGAATTTATTTTTTTTAATTTTTTTGCTTTTTGGGGTCACACCTGGCAATGCACAGGGGTTATTCCTGGCTCATGCACTCAGAAATTACTCCTGGCGGTGTGCAGGGGACTATATGGGATGCTGGGAAACGAACTCGGGTCGGCCGCATGCAAGGCAACAACACCCTACCGTTGTGCTATCGCTCCAGCCGAATTTCTTTATTTTTAAGTAGCTAAATGCCTAGCACATGTAGTACCAGACTGGTAGAACTATTTCACCACTAGACATTTCAGTGCATCTCAGCTCCCTGCTGCAGAGTTGTACAAGTGCACGCTTCTCAGAGACCCCCACCAGGGCAGGCATGGGGTGGCAGTGACCTCCCTCTGTGTCAAGCACACCAGGGCACCAGGAGGCATGATTGCTAGCACTGCCTCCATGACCATGACCAAGAATGGCCAGGACCCCTCCCGGGAGAAGCCATTTACTTACCGGCAATTTCCAGCACTATTTCTTTTTAAAAATCAACCAGAAATACTACATTCAGGATGCAAGTAGCACTTGAATTTAAAAGGTGACCGATGACATGCCCCCGTGCGTGCTCAGGATGGGCTGATTCTCTGCTAACACTTAGGCGGTTCTCAGAGGAAGCATGAAGAGCTCTGGGGCACTGTCCCTTTCCAGGGAGCCACACCGAGTACCCTCAAGGTGCCAGGACCTCAGTCACAGTCACTCACCAAGTATCCTGAAACACGTCTGCTCACCCTGGCCGCAACCCCAAACTCATCTCGAAAGGAAAATGAAGGAGCCCCCTGGGGGTCAGACAGACACTCTGGCCATAGGACATGACCTGAAACAGAGAAGACTCCAGGCCTTCTGCTGCCTCGTCCTCCGGTCCACCTGCCTCACTGCCCAGGACCTCCTGCTGCCTTGCTTTTAAGCAACGTTAGACAGAGGTCAGCCTTCCAAGAGCAGAGGGACCACATCTAATTCTAGAACATGTTTGCCACCTCCAGAGAAACCTGCCACCATCATCGTTCTCATCCTCATCCCACTGAGCCTGTCTCATTTCTGACTTTCAGTGGTCTCTGAACTGGACAAGGCAGATAAATGGATCGTGGACCAGGGATGTGGCTCAGTGGGGTAGAGCACACGCCTTGCATGTGTGAAGTTCTGCATTCAGTCCATGATCACAAAAAAAAAAAAAAAGGAAAGGAAAAGAAAGAACGGGTCCAGAGAGATAGCACAGTGGGTAGGGTATTTGCCTTGCATGTGGTTGACCCAGGTCTGATCCCGGGCATCCCATTTGGTCCCACAAGCACCACCAGGAGTAATTTATGAGTGCAGAGTCAGGAATAAGACCCGAGCACCACCAAGTGTGACCCAAAAAGAAAAACACAAAAGGAAAGAAAAGATAGGTAATGTGTGGAGTGGCCTTTGCATGAGAATTTTTTCCCTCACATCTTCAAGGTTTGTCCGCAGTGTACCTTCTTCGCACGTCACATTTCATCCTTTCTGTATGTTTGGCCATAACCAGCGATGCTCAGGACTTACTCCTGGCTCTGTGTGCAGTGGCCACTCCTGGTGAGGCTCAGGGAACAATATGGAGTCCCAGGGATTAAACGCAGGTCAGGGGTGTTCAAGGCAAGCACCCTCCCTGCTGGTCTCTCTCTCTCTATCCCATCATTCCTTTTTATTTCCAAATTGCTAAGGTACATTCACTTCACCGTTCATCCAATGCATTTGAGTTATTTCCATTTGGGTGCTATTGCAAATAATAACGCTCACACAACTTATATTTTTGTAAGGACGCGAGTTCCACCTCTGAGTTTGTATTTCCTTGATGACAAATAGGGATGCGCATCTTTTAATGACATTGGTCATTCAGAGAAATGCGTACCCAAATCACATGCTCATTTTGAAATGTGTTATTTGGGGGCCCGAGAGATCACA